TATATTCAATAAATGTATAAGGTATAATACAGTGTTGGAATGTTTAATGTGAACATTGAGCAGCTCTTTATAATTGCAGTATTGCACATTTATGTTGAATCCATTTTTATCTGGAAAGTTTAGCGCTTTAGTTCATCCACTGCTTTTGCAGTTACTTGAACAAAGAGTTCAATTATTAAATACATTTTAGCATGATCATTTCCGGTATCGGTCAATATCGGTATCGGCAGAAACCCATAGCTCTGGTATCGGTAGTAAAAAAGCTGGATCGGTGCATCTCTAGAACGAACTGGCAGATAATGTGTGGACTAGTCCCAGGTATGTGCAAAAATGTCTTATGTGGCCTGGTAATACCTTGGATGAGCTGGAGAGGCGTGCATGAATAGAGAAGTCTGCATTCACTGCTGCCTCCGCGACCATCAATAGATAAAGCAGTAAGTAAGCCGAGTAAATGAGGAATGGAAAGAATATATACTAAGCACATTTCTCAACTTCTTCCAAAGGCCAAAGCAAAGATTTGCCAGAACACCACTGACTACATAAGCATACTAACAGAAAATAGTGTTATACAATGACAATTTGCTTTTCTCCCTGTCAAGCATTAGTACATTTCAAAAGAGGATATGCATAACAAGGAGAACGAAGCAAGAATATGTTCTTGTGATTAACCTCACATTTAACCTTTCAACCACAGGTCTGCCTCATCAAACTATATTTACACATGAACCGTGCATAAAATAAAACTCAAGGGCGTTCCTAGTGGAAGCCTTTTTCAAAAGGTAATGGTGTAGTTTGGAAGTCTACTGCTCCAAGAGGCATACAAAATGTCTTTAGTAAGCTAAAAGTTCTGTTTCCAGGGGTTAGCGGCACGTCACGTTCAATAACATGCACAATGGAGGAGTTCTTTGTGCCAAGAGAAATTTCATGTTTCTACTTCTTTGCATCAGTGGCCAACACAGAAGCCGCAGTGTGTCAATCACAACATGACAGATGCTCACCGCGGGGCAAAAGGAAGCTTCTCTGTTGTTTGGGACAATTCTGCATGTAAGAATATCCCTGCATACAACACTCAATATGGAAAAACAATCTGGAGGCGCTGACGTTGTTCACTGCTCCTGACCTGGCAGCTCAAACGTACAGGAATTAGATCTTAAAAGAGGAACGTAAATTGACATTTTTTGAATCATAGCAGCTGTTAATAACTTACACTTCCCTCTTTTTTGCAGTATCAGAAGCCGTGGAAAGAACATTAACCGCTTGATACCAACTTAGATACCACAGTGATTATGTATAAATGCTCAAATTGTAATTTTTGTCAATCTAGCTAATTTCAGAACAAGTTTTATCATTAATTCATTTCGGATTTGTATACTTTTGACAGCCATATCACCCACTAGCCTACAGTCCAGAAATGTACAAATGTGAAATAAATGTACACAATATTTGAGGGAGGGGCTGACCACAGACATAAGTTTCATTCATTTTCACTTAGGGGAAAATACAAATCTTTTTTTTTTGCTAGATTGTCCTAAACAATGAGTTCACTGAGAAGCTACTTTGGATATCCATAGCGGTGGGTTCCATCTGGACATTAGTGGGCAGTGCTACACTCATGAGCACAAAATATTTTCAATTCTGCTGAACCATTCAATACTCCTATTGTGATTAAATACTTTTGAAAACAACTTGATGGCTATTGTTCACAAAGTATCGCTATCACTGTGAGTCATTCAGTATCATCCAAGACTGAGAGTTTTTTTAGATACTGTTCTAGTGGCTTGCGTATCTTTTCTGTTCATGACTCATCAAAACAAGCTAATCACAAAGGAACATTAATAAATTGTCTTTGTTCGGGAAAGTCTGGGGCAAGCCTTTATATAGAAATTTTGGACAGCCCAATATGCAGGACAAGTGGAGTGGCTTATATCCCATTGCGCTTGAATTACATTACAATTGACATTTAAAACTACCTCCCTCCAGACATGCGCCTCAGTTTTACAGCACTATTATAATTCCTTTCACCTCCCAGTAGCAGGCAAGAGTGTGTCTTTTGTGCAGCCAAAGCTTTACAGGCCGGTGAATCTCAGAGGAAGAAAAGGCCCTGGTGTTGAGCGGTCAGAAGGCATTTGAGAGGGACGGAAAATTGTGTCAGCAGTTTGTTGGCGAGAGCACGGAGCCGTCGAACACAGCTCCAAGACCCTTTTTCCTCGCAGGACCGCTGAGGGTTTAATGGGACTGCTCCTTCCACTCCATTTGCTAAAGTCTATCCCAATCAGAACACAGCTGCAGCTAGCCACTGTCACTGTTCTATAACCCATCTCTGAGGAATATGTAATTAAAAGGTAAAATGGTATACTCATATATTGGGCATGTAATAGGTAAATTCTTGGGCGATAAATTTGGTAGTATGATAAATCTGTGGATGACTAAAGACAAAACAAATCCACCAGTTTGTTGACAAAAAAGGGTGTGGCAAATCATAAAATAAGTTATTAATAAAAAAAACCTTACAAGTCAATTGAGTCAATGATTAAAGACTATAACACATTTTACAATTTAATACTAGACTCCAGACCGTGACAAATGCATTGTTCAGTACTTCGACTTAACTAAACGCTCACAATGACAATGGCAAATTGATTTAGGTTCCAAATTGTAATCAATCCAATTCAGAACATTGTAGTTTGAATCGTTGATATTAATTCATCCGCTACAATTTATGCAATTACTTTGTTTCTTTGAACAGTATTAAATCTGCACCAAAGAAGTGGGCTAAAGTAAGAAGCTTATAAGCACCCCAACCCCCAAACTCAACTAGCAACAATTTCATAATAGACATCAAATTACTTTTTAATTAGTCTTTCAAGGCCCAAGGTCCGATTGTCTAGAATGCAGAGAAAGTGAGGCAGATTTTGTATCATTTCTCACAAACTACTCCACAGCAATGTTTTAGTACAATCTCCACTCAAATAAAGCTTTACACATGTGTTTTTCGCCTAAACAAAGTAGTACATACTATACTCAAAGTTTATGGTCCAGTAAAAACATATATCAGACAATATATGTGCCAAACAATATCCTTACTTCATACTAATAATGCTGAATCTACTTTGGCACACACACATATTTGATGAAACTTTTACAAGTGGTGAACTATAATTTTCTTACACTTCTTCTAAACAACTTGTGGTCCATTTCTTGTTTACCACTTTTGTCGACACGATGAGTCTCTACATTGTGCTACTAAAAACATCACGTTGCGATAGCAGAGTAATAGAGAATCTGTGGAGTGTTTTATTGGTCATTTTCTTCCACTGCTCATTTTCATGGGGATTATGGCAGCAGCAAGATGGCCTGACTATGAAAGAAAGATCTCTGAAAATGGTATTGGATCTATTTCGGAGCCAAACAACAATTTCATGGTTGACCAGTCTCAAAGTAATTACATATGGCCCCAAGACGACACATTGATCAAGACACAGTTCACCTCTGAAATAAGACTTTTTTTGCGACAGAAGACAGCAGAAAACTCAGATGATGACATTTTTGTATCTCTAACAACAGTAACCGATGCAGAATTAGCATCCGAACACAATTAAATGTACCGTACATTCCGGAATATAAGCCGCGTTTTTTTTCTACTGCATTTTGAAGGGTGCGGCATATAGTCAGGTGCGGCTTTTTTTTTTTTTTTTTTTCTGTGGCGCTAAAAACATTTTGCCAAGTAACAGTAGACCAACAGAATTGATGAGTAGTTCACAGAGGTCCAAATAAATTGTTTAATGTTTCAATCAAGCTGAATAAATACGGCCACTGGTCCACCTTCTGTAGCTAGCTTAGGTCCTAGATCATTAGCCTGTCCGTCCGGAGGAGCGGATCCCTTTCTCAAATGGGTCTCCCTCCCTGTGGGTTTCCCTAGTTCTCCCCAAGGTTTCTCACTTTTTCCCACTGGGTTTTTTAAGAGTTTTTCCTTGTCGATGCAGGAGGGTCTTGTTGGACAGTTAGTGTCCAACAGAAAGGATTGGTGATGATCAGGACACTTTAGCATTCTACAACATGTATGGACATTTTCTTCTGTGTGTGCTTTATATTCTTCATGTGTTTTAACTGTTGATTCTCTGACCTGTGTTGGTGATTTCAATGGTTTTGTTAAGTCCTCTGAGATGACTTCTGTTGTGACCTAGGGCTATACAAGAATAAATTGTATTGTATTGTAATTGTATTTTATCTGTATCTGTTTTTATTCTGATGTTTTGCTTATGTTTTAACTTGCTGTAGCACCTTGAGATGTATTTTACTCTTACTCGAATTTACTCTATGTGGGACAGCTGCGGCTTATAGTCCGGAAATACGTTAATGAAAGTATAAAAGAATAAAATCAAGTCAATCATTTAAAGGTTGTGATACTAAAGCAGTAGTGTGGGAGATGCACGGTGTAATTGTTTTAAGTTACTCTCATGTGTGCACCAATTTAACACAAGGACGACAAGCCAGAAAATAAACCAAAAGGCAGAAATAAACAAGAAAACTTCAATTGAACAAAAAGGTGTATAACTAATATTAATTCCACATATGAAGAAGGATACACAGAAATATGTATAGAAAAAATGTATATAGTACTGTACTTAGAAGTGACATTAAAAATAACTTACTGTATAGGCTACAAATGATTATAACACCCATGACTCATATGTCACTGAATGATGAGTAAGGCTGGAGGCTGCATTCACAGATTCAGAAAGCAAAGTAAGTAAGTGGTCAGCGAAGCTTGGAGAGAGTAATAGAGTCTCAAAATGAATTACTCAAACACGCTTGAATGTCTCTTAATAACAAATGACAAGGAAAACATCTATAACACGGTGAAAAGTTGTGGGGTCATACCTTTTCCTTAGTAACAATCATGAGTTGCTTTGTGTAAGCACTAAATTCTGGTCATCCTATTCCCAATTATGAAAATATAGTAATATCTCTGTTAAGGCAAATCAATAATAAGATCTTACCATGAGTCGAAAGCAGAATTTCTCCAGATCTGGCTTTGAGGGAAGGAGGAGGAGCTACATGTTGTATTGATCTATAATCCGCAGTCCAACAGCAACCCACGGCAGGCAGAAATCTACAACAACACAAAAGTAAAAGACTAAACACTAAATGGAAACAGACAGACCCAAAGAACAGCCGGAGTGGACAGTAGTGCAATTGCCCATCAAAAAGAGACTTTACATCAGGGGTGCCCAAAGTGGGGCCCGCGGGCCAAAGTTGGCCCGCCGGACCATTTCAGTTGGCCCGCCTAACATTGCCCACCTCCTCTGTAAGTTTCTAACTGCGTCCCTCAGCCTCGCTGAACAAACAGTGACATGTCTGAGATCGCGCGGGCGCACCAACGCCCTCTGAACCACAACTGTCCAGTACTTTACTGTTGTATCGAGATACACTCCTCACTCATGGTTCACATCAACTTGCACTAAAATGTTTTTTAAAATCAAACACATCTTTCAAAACAATTGGGTGCAAGGCCCCTTTATGTTCTTTTTTTTCAGCCTACTATTATAATTTTTTTGAGCAATTTAATGTTTTATCAAATTGAGAGGATTGTGCTGGCGAACTGCCACTCCCCCTCCTCACCGGAGGGAATTGGCGAGTGGAACTATTCACCTGCGCAATCCGCACCCACCCGGTGTGTTAAAAAAGACGGACACACACACTTCAGAGTGAGTTCAAGCAGGACAAGCAGGGATCGCAGCGCACGATCCACGTAAGTAGAAGCAACAAATACTACGCAAAACAAACCCTTCTACAACCCCATGAAAGAAGCCGGTAAGCGCCGTCCTCACTCGCGATCATTGAATGTCAGAACTTACGCTGAGTTTTATGATGCGTTCAAGAGCCCTTTGGAGGAGCGGAAACACGGACTCTTTAACAGGTTCCTTGAGTTTGTTTTGTTTTACCTAAACACAGTACGACATTTATAAACAATCAAAACAAAGTAACTATCATGGTTAACTAGTCTGATTTCGTTAGTTTAATATTCAGTTCACAACTAATTGAGAATACTTGCCCTATGTTAAAAATATTGAGTTAAAACAGAGTTAAAACCTGATCATGTTTAGAAAATGCAGTTAGCAATTATGTTCCCAAATTCATTACTAAAAGTTAAAATGTATTGTTTAAAAGTGTGCTAAAACCAGATCTACTGATCAGTGATGTCTCCCCTTTTTGATAAAAGCTAAGATAAAGTAATATGATTCAAATGTAGTTAAAAACATTTGTTCAAAATAAATATATGAAAATAGACTTTACTTTTGTAAAGTAAATGTCATTAGTACAATAAACCTATACATTATAAATCACTGTACTCTAGTAATGCAAAACTGTTTAGAAAAAGGTCTTCAACAAACAGTTTACTGACATGAGCAGGTTAAAAATATAGATTATTTAATTTGGGAGTATGATATTATTTAATATAAATTAGTACTTTCATTTACTAACAGGAACATTATTTGTTTACAAGTGGCGTTTAAAAAACAGTTTAGCTACATAGAAAATGTATGTTTCTGTTCTCTTTTAGAGGTTTTTTATATGATTAAGCTGTAAATAAGCCATGACAGAAAATCTCCCTCCTCTGGACCCTGATTACCCGGCCGGAATCTTTCCGTACTGTTGTCTCCTCAAACCAGCATATTTCCCAGGAGCCTCCACTTCACTAAGACTGTGTTGATTTCATTCATTCAGCTGTGATTTGCACTGATAGACAATAATTAATGCATTTAATAGAACTTGATCAAATCTACATTTATTTGTGTTTCATGCAAAATATCGGTGTATTTGGCCCCCGGCCGACTGGCAAATTTTTACTTTGGCCCTTGGAAGCAAAAGGTTTGGGCACCCCTGCTTTACATAGACTCTGCATCCATAAGATAATTAACCCCAACAAAATGTATATATTGTTGATTGTTAAAGAAATACAATTCAATGCTTTGTTAAAGTGAGGGTACAAAAGAAAATCCATATGGTTTGGATCAAATGCAGTAAAATATTGCCTTGTTCCTGCCACTTATTTTTATAGATGAAAATCATATTGCATATTGATTGGGCCTCATGTCGATTGTCCTTCCTGATTCATTCATCTTCATAAGGTGAATGAATCAGGAAGGACAATGGGAGAGAAACAGAAATAACATATGGTATAAACTTGTTTACAATAAAGCTCTATGCAACTTCAAATTGAGTGCATGTTTTAAATACATCAAACACAGTCTTTCAAGTTATTTTCAGCCCATTACTGAAAGTTCATGATCTATCACACCGCTTCTGGGCACCTTTTGGTTTATGGATTTGACCAGCACACCATCTGGGGCGGAGGTTAATGGATTGGGGTTAAGTAAAAATGGCAGGGCACAGGGCAACACACAAGACATTTATGGAGAGCCGTCCAGATGTCTGCTCAAGTTACCAGGGTTACCGTCAAGGAACCCCCCCCATAACTATTACAGGAGACAACACAGACCTTTGCAACCAGACCAATTCGTCAAATCTCATTGTTTGGTCTTATAGAATCCAGGGTACACAGGTACTTAAAAGTAATTGTGGTTTGGACTTTATACTTGAAGGAACCAAATGTGATTGCTAAATGAGGAAATATACTTTACAATACAGTACAATAACCCAGACTGATCACTTTAGTGCAATATTTTGCAGATTTGAGTTATGGCTTTTTACTAGAGATGGTCAAAATGGTGGCGCTTCCCAGTTCCCTATTCCACATCCCTGTCTTAGTTTCATGTCCTCTTTCAGCACCTGCTAAAGTGAACACAGAGAAATAATATACATTGGAAAAAGTCAATTATTCACACGTTCAATTCATTCATTTAGTAATAGCCGTTTGTTTTTTTGTCGTTTACTGCAGTTTTTCATAGCTGTACACTGCTCACAACGCATTTTATGTTTTTTGTAACAAATCAAGATTGAGGCTGACAAACCTCCTAGAATTAGCTTCCTCTACTTCTTGAGTCACTAGCAGCTTATTATCCCAGTGCTAGCCTATTTGTCTGTGTCAAGGGAAAGTGGATTAATAAAGATTGACTTTAAACAATGCTTCCTCCAGGATCACTCGCCATCTGCCAGTCTACTCCACACAGCATGACAAAAAGGACCCAAATCCCTTTTACGACGACTGCTATTTTTGGATCTAGCTTGATGTTTTTTCACTGCTGATCAAGTTGAATGAAAGGCAGACGGGCACGTAGCAGAGCTGGCAAGGTGCAAAACTCGAAATGCACTCAAAAGCCTAGCGGGTACGGTAATAAAAAGGTATTTGCCCTGAATTAACCAACAATATCCCCAATTCTTCCTCATTATAACTGTTACATCATGTTGAAGTGTGGGAACTGATATAAAGGGTTCTGGGGTGTTTACGAAAAGAGCTGCAGGCAAAATACAAAGGATAAATCATCTGAGGTTTGAGCTGGAAGGAGAACCTGCTTAAATATCCAAATACATGATGGTAAGAATGCTAACCTCAAGTAGCCTTTGAGATCATTGTTTTATCCAAGTACCTGGTGAAAAAGTAAAGATTAAAATTTCTCATTCAGCTCTGTCAAGTGTGAATCAATATGGAAAAGTCATACGACATATCTCAAATGTCAAGCTCAGAACAGACACCAAGACTAACCCAGCCAACAACAAAAAAAGTTATATAATCTGGGTTGCCAGGCTCTCGACAAAAGGTGCTAAACTAACTTACGAGTACTATAGACTAACTATACAATAACTACAATTTTGTAAAGACATATTTCCACAACAGAAATGCAACTTCAGTGAATGCATCTAAATGTGAAGGCTGACTCACACCCTAAGTAATAATAATAATAATAATGCATCGGTTATATAGTGGTTTTGTAGACACCCTTCACAAGTGATTATTCATTCACGTAACACAGGGTGGTGGTAAATCCTGGGGCAGACAGACAGAAGGGTGGCAAATAGTGTGTGCCATTGGCCCCTCCGACCACCATCAATCATTCATGCAAACACCATTCTATGCGAAGTACACTGTACTGTATATGTACTGTATATTGCTGTATATCTGGACAGCTTCTTCATTGGATATTTTTAAATCCAGCCTGAAGACATATTTAAATGGCTTGGTTTTTGTATTTGTGTGTATTTCATGCAGTTCTATTTTTACCTCCAAATTGTTATGCATGTGAAGCGCTTTGGGCATGCTGGTGTTTATTTACGCTAAAAGTTGACATCGACTAAATTGGCCGGAGAACATTGGAAATTTGTAAGTGAAGTGTAGTGTATCTGTCGAACTGTCAGCTACAGCATCTCCTTTAAGTGCTTACAGAGACTGGGCACCGTCAAACCAATTAGCACTCTATATGTCATTACCTCCGTGGTTAAAAATGTATGCCCAGGGCCCTCCTGCGTACTGCTCACTGCATCAAGTAGAGATAGTGGAGTTTAGACTTGTCTTCTTTCTGCTGGATATCAATTAGAGACTCATTAGGCATTAGGAGGTCAGAATCCCGCCGATTTCACGCCTCCCACTGCGAGCCAGGCTGACCCTAGACTTAAGAGTAGCTGCTGCTGCACTAGCACAATAACTATTAAGAAACTCATGAACAAAGTGAGCTACACAAGTTGAGAATAGTTAGAAGATATTTGTCAAGTTGATATGATTGATAAAAGCTGGTGTTCTCTAACGTGGAAGAACTGCTTGACAGTACTGCCTAACATTGCACTGTAAATAAACACGGATTACAAGAACCCACTTCTGCTGAACTTGAAATAGCAAGATTAGAGGTAGATTTGTAACAGAAGCTAATGAAACCACTCCTAACCAATGTTCCTCTATAAGCTACTGTACTTGAAGCTACCACAAGTTACTACTAGAAGATTATAGAGACAGTACCTAAGTTCAACCAATGACATGTTGTAACTAGTTTTGAGATAGCCTCCATAGTATAGAGTGTGTGAATATTTTCCATAATTCAAAATGCTGAGAAAAGCTGGCTTCAGTTATGTTATGCATTAATAACCAAACCTTGTGCCCAGACCAAGGTTACATATATGCGAGTGGCTGCATGTCTGTCTACAGAAAGTCTTTAAATA